TTGCTGTAGATCTGTGATAGGTTTCAAAGTTCATGCAGGATTTCTTCTGCGTGGCAGGGATTTCAGAATCCAGGGCTAGTTAAAAAACACACTAGTTTGTAGACATGGGGAGACCCCATTCAAACTCCCAAATTCAAATATCTTCTACCTTTAGACTCTGGAAGCACCATCTACAGCTGGGAGCAAGAATAACCTGTGGGGGAGGAGGGGCAAGGAGGGGAGTTGCTGTTCTGTCATTGGTGGGTCAGGATGGGGGAGGGTGGATCATTCCTCTCTGCCCCCTCAGAAAATGAATGCTGCTATTCATGAGGCCTGTAAAGGTAGCGTCTGTGGATTCTAGAGAGTACCCAAACTAGGGCACAGTGGTCCATCCTGTGCCCCCACGCTGTGTGCAGGATTTCTGATGGCCGCCAGACTTTGGGCCATAAGCTGCATGATGGGCAGCTGTGCAAAGCACATGCGACAATTCCCTTTACAAATACTCGTTTGCAGAACTTAATACAGAGAGCACCACATGTTTAGTGTAGGTGGGCTCCTGACGCCCCCGAATCAGTGCAAATACGTCTGAGGCCAAATATTTCACTTATTACTGCTCCCTTCTTTGGGCGCGATTGTCCACACACCTCATGTGAGTGCCGGTGCACAGGACAGGCACTCCGCTAGCAGTGTGATGGGGGCTGTATCAGAACCAGAGGAGGACAGAATAGGGTAAGTGGTCACTTTAGAGCTCATCTGCCCACACAGCTTAGCTGACCCCTTATGAAAACTCCTGTTCCCATCTTCCGTGTTTTTCAGTAACGTTTGTTCTCATGTGCCCAGAACCATCCCGAGTGCCTGGCCAGGTAATATAAATATAATATATGGAGATATACCTATCTCATAGAACTGGAAGGGACCCCGAAAGGTCATCGAGTCCAGCCCCCTGCCTTCACTAGCAGGACCAAGCTGCGAGTTCCTGAGGTCTCTTTGGACAGAGAAGCAGGAGAAATGCCCCCCACCACACCGGGCTTGGGGCTTTGTGGCTGCCTGCGTGCAGAGCTGCGGTCTTGATGTAGAATGTCCGGGGACAAAGAAGCGCTGTTCAAACTGGTGTGGATACACCTGTCAGCCTCAGCAAACGTGTTCAAAGGTAAAGCAGCCGAGTGCTCTGCAGCTCTGGGCTAACCTGTCGTTCTGCATCATGATGAATTAGTGTGCTCCGCAGTAATCAGAGGTCATTATTGTTACAGAAACAATAGCTGTTATTCTGTGGCAGCTCTGACAGCTAAAGAACACGGCGGCCTGTGAAAAATGTAGACGGCTTAATCTTCTTGTGTTGAATAACATTTTCCTGTGTTTTCTTGGTAAATGTTCACACCAACACAGGGGAATGGGTGCTGTGTGGTCTGCTAACGGGGGGGCTGGGTGTGTGCTTAGTTACTGGGAACGGAGTACTGAGCCCTTCACCAATCCGCCTGTCACAAGGCGACTGGCCCTTAAAGGGGAGATGGGTCCAGCCCCACCTGTGACACTCAGCTCACCTCCAGGTGGTCACGCGACCGACAGGCCTCCTGGGGTGGGTGAGGTAAAAACAGAAGCCTCTGAGAAGCAAGAGAGGATCTGTGAAAGAGGGCTGGAGTGCAGCCTGGTTACTGGTGAGATGGGGAAGCTGGTTTGAACCATTGCACAGCCCCAGGTTGGAGGCTGTGGAATCCCTTAGCTGGGGGGCAGCAGGGCACAGCCCCAGGGTGGAGGATGGTGGAATCCCTTAGCTGGGGGGCAGCAAGGCACAGCCCTTGGTCAGAGGCTGTGGAATTTCTTAGCCAGAGGGAAGGTGTGGGCCTGATGAGCCAAAAGAAACTGTATGTTTATAAAGACATAATAAATTGGACCTGTGGAGGGTAAACTGACTTAGTACTTTGGGCTGGGAACAAGTGATTTGGGAGAAGCAAGAGGGAACTGAGGGTGGTGGGCCTGCCAGACCACGCTGGGGCAGGACCTGGCACGCTCCAGGGTGGCACCCTGCCACACGTCCTCAGTCCAAGTGCACCCCAGGTCAGCAGTGCCTGACCCGCTCCTGGCTCTGAGGTGGCCTGTGTGAAGTGGCCTGTCTTGTTTCATTCTCGTGTCTGTGTCACAAAGCACACTCCCAGAGTTAACGCTAAGGGTACATCTTCACTACCCGCCAGATCGATTACTACCTGCCGATCCATCAGGGATCGATTTATTGCGTCTCGTCTAGATGTGATAAATCGATCCCTGAACGCGCTCCCCGTCGACTCCGGAACTCCAGCAGAGCAAGAGGCGGTAGCGGAGTCGACAGGGGAGCCACGGCCGTCGATCCCGCGCCGTGAGGACCCAAGGTAAATCGATCTAAGATACTTCGACTTCAGCTATGCTATTCACGTAGCTGAAGTTGCGTATCTTAGATCAGTCCCCCCCCCCCACAGTGTAGACCAGCCCTAAGTGGCACCTCTGCGTAGAGGCCAAGGGAGGAACTGACCTCAGGGACCCAACTATCCTCTTGCCTCCTGGGTGGTCCTTTGGTGAGGGTTGAGATTTCGCCGTTTTGTGCATACATAAAGAAATTCAGGCTCCTGGGCTCTCAATCAGGCGCATTTCAGCTAAAATTCACACAACCACCCAGTAGCGGATTAGTCACTGGGCCACCAGGACCGGTGCCCAGGGGCCCCGTCCAATTGGGGGGGCCCCGGAAAAATGGGTGCCCCGCACCCTGACCCCACTCCACCCACCTGCCTGGCGATCCTGCTGGAGAGCAGGGGGAAGCCCCCACGCCCTGCTTCCACTTCCCGGCAGGAGCACCGGGCGAGGGGGGGGGCAGAGGGGGCAGAGCAAGCCCCTGCACCCTGACCCCATTTTCCCAGCAGGAGCACCGGGGAGGGACTGGGGGGGGGGACTGCAGGCAAAAGAGGCAGGGAGGGGCCCCCACTTTCTCTGGCTCAGGGCTCCAAAACACCATAATCCGCCTCTGAGCCCACCTGATTACTACCCCACCTCCACACACGCTGCTGCAGCTGCGCTCTCTCTGCCTGTTTGTCATTTTCAGGTGTCCCATTAGAGCCTAGACCTCGCCTTTCTCGAGGACTCCAGTGGACCCTTGAAGTATCATGGAATCCAAATGCAACATGTCTGTGGAGCCTGTATTTTATATCCTGCCGAAAAGGTGGAACTACGGGATTCAGCCCAGGGAAGACGAAGCTACAGAATGGCAGATGGTTAGTTCCATATTTATGGTTATTTATGCAGAGTGCATCTTCATAGGCAGTAGAACATATGGGAATCCAAAGGGCATGTGCCTGCTGTATCTATTTATCTCCACTCTTTTATAGAGGAAAAGGATTTATGAAACATCTTGTTTATGGGAGTGTTCTCGAGAGGTGATACCCACATTATTTAAACAACTTCAGGGAGGGTCATTTCACTAGCAACTGTAGAACTCTGGGGCACTGAGCTGGTTATTCCAGTCACTGACACTGCAGCAAGATGGTTACTTCTGCCTATTCGAACCTTATCCATACAGTAGCTAATGGAGAAGGAAGGCTGGCTAGAGAGAAGCTGGCTGGCCTTGTGGTTAAAGCACTAGACTAGGACTTGGGAAATCTGGAGTGACTTCCTGACTCTGCTGTAGACCTCCTGTGTGACCTTGGGTAAGTCCCAGTCTCTCTGTGCCTCGGTTTCCCCTTCTGTAAAGTGGAGCTAATAACACTTCCCCAGCACAGGGGAGTGGTGAGGGTATGCTCAGTGATATTGCAGGGAAAGAGGTTTTATTTTATATATATATATATAATATATATAAAAATACACACACACACACACGAATCATGGGGTAGACCATGTAATTGACTCATTTTGGGTGACTCTTCCATTGGCCTTTTTAAGTCCTCTGGCTTTGTCTGTGGATGTAAACTGCTGCTGGTGGCATCATTTTGTCCTGCTGCATTTGTGTAAGAGGCAGAAATGACAAAGAATGCTAAAAAATTGGGACTGTGGAAGACCCAGAAATCCAAGATGCTGAGCAGATATTTACTTGTCAGAGCCTATTAACCTGCCTTTTTACTAACTGAAATATCTGTCAATTAGGGTGACCAGACAGCAAGTATGAAAAATCATTACAGGAGGTGGGGGGTAATAGGAGCCTATATAAGAAAAAGACCCAAAAATCGTGACTGTCCCTATAAAATCGGGACATCTGGTCACACTAGTGTCAATCAAACTCATATTCCTGCTGCTTGTTCTACAGAAGAAGTGTAATCATGGTTATTTTGCTCTGATGCCACCTCTTTCCTCTGAGGGTTTCAATGTGTTTTTCAAGCATGAAGGCCTGGCTGGTATCTGGCAGCGACGTGGGTACATATATGGGGGAGAGTGACAGAAACTTCTCCATGGTGCTCCCCGTGTGGAGTGGCCAGGCACATTCACAGTGCCTCCTAGTGGCCACCCAGAGGAGGCAGGAGAGAAATGGAGCTGTGACGGCCGCCCTCTTGGCCTATACACCGAGGATCTCCAGAGCCGAAAGCATGAGCTGCTATTGCGTGAGCTAAAGAGACAAGGCTCCCTAGCTGGGGGTCTAGCAGACTCATATCTGGCACAGTGAGCGGCCCTGAAACACACACTCACCAGTGGGTTACAGAGCCATGACCTACCCCTTCCCCCCCAGCCAGTAGAGGTGGTTAGGTGCAGGGAGGTGTGCACAGGGCACCATCCTAAGGAGCAGTGTGGGGGACATGTTCTGCTGTGCACCTAGATGGTCCAAGGAGGCAGGTGGGATTATGCTAATGGAGTTCCCACTGTGGGAGCTGTGCAACACATGTACCGCTTTACAAGTGGCTGAACCTAGGCCTGGAACAGTCCCAGGTCGCCTGAGAGAGGACACTTTCGTTTCTTTACTCGAACAAGGAGACAAGCTCACACAGTCACCATTGTAGGGTTTGTAAACCTGACTGGATTGTGGAAGTTGCTGCACTAACCCTATATCTTCTGTTCTGGAAATTCTAGACGATGAAGGACAATGTGCAGCTAGAAGGCCTAAGACCAAACAGATGGGACCAGTTCAGAGTAGCAGCAATCAGTGTCCACGGCACACGTGGTTTCGCTGCTCCAAGCAAACATTTCCACTCCTCTAGAGGTGAGAAACCAAAGACTGAGCACTCCCTGTCTGCTGTCTGTAGCGTAGGAACCAGTTTTATGTGAAGGTTTGGACCTTCTTCCTCCGATGGACTCTTTCTCTGTCAAACCAGCATTATTTGTTTTAGGTGAAGGCACAAGGCTTGATGCCTGAGGGGGACATTCAGAGAGACCCGAGAGGGATCAGAGGTGCAGCAAGCCCTGTAAGTGTGACAATCGGGGCCTGAAGTCCCATAGCCCTAAAGGTGGTGAAGCTTTGCAAGGCGTAATATTTGCAAATTCTAATGACAAACATTACACCATTAGTAACTGAGTAGCTGCAGAAACATACGTTATGAAGCACCTGGAGACAATTTAACTAAGCAGTATTTCCATTCAGCCGGAATAGACACAGGGCCGGCTCCAGCATTTCTGCCGCACCAAGCACAAAAAAAAAAAAATCGATCGGCGGGGGCAGTGGGGGGGTGGGGTGGGGAGGGAAGCCGCGATCGGCGGCGGCAGTTCAGCGTCAGGTCCTTCGCTCCTAGAGGGAGTGAGGGACCTGCTGCCCCCGAATTGCTGCAGGTGCTGCCCCTCTCCCTTGGCCGCCCCAAGCACCTGCTTGTTAAGCTGGTGCCTGGAGCCGGCCCTGAATAGACAGCATTGGCTTTGTTCGGTACTTCTTGAGCCTGATAACTGAGTAGGGAGCCTGTTGTGTTCTGTTCTCTATTGGTTTCTCATACCACACTAATCACTGCAGTATCTCAGCACCTTCAAGTTGCATGTTAGTTAACATTACGAACATCTGTCGTGCATGTGTTCTGTCATCCTCTGCCTGGGCGAGAAATGTCTGCAGCAGAGTGTTTTGGTCGGGATTTTTAAGATATATATCTGCTGCTCTGTGTGTGTTAGAGAAGGAAAGTTTGAAGAAGTGTACCTTGCACTTGAAGCAGAAGGTAGTGTGGTTTGTGATGGTCCTTAATTGTAAATCTGATCTGACACAACCTTAATTACACATGTATTTTTTTTACTGATGCACCCAGTCCCATTGACTTCAATGGGGGCTCAGCATTTATGGAAAAAAGGCCACTTATTTAGATGCCTGTCACAAGGTGCAAACACTTTTTAAGGAAGGTGGGCTTAGCTCCAGCCATGACTAATTAACTGCCTCCCACCTGATGGGGCTGAGGCCAGGAATCAGGTGAGAGCCTTTAGATTACCTCATTCTTGGATACAAGGCCAACAACCAGCTTGGTTGGTAGAGAGACCTTCAGGGAAGACGTAGGTACCTACAAGATCTGCAAAGAGGCTAGGTGCCAGTATCTGGATTATCTATTTCATTTATATTGGACTGTTTCTGAGAAACAAACTCCTCCTTGGAGAAAGTGCTTGGAGATCTTCTGTCACAAGGTGCTACAGAAGAGCAAAATATTAGTATTATTGTCTTTGCATGTTCTTATGCATTACTATTGGCTCTGATCATTCCCCTAGGTAGGCTGGCCTACCTCCTCATGTAGCCAGTCTTTGCAGCTTAAAAGTTGGTGAGAAGGTGAATGGCTTGCCCAGAAGATATCCACAAGATCAGGTCTATTTCAGTAGGTAGCTCCCTGCCCTTTAACATGCAAAAGAAGCATCTTAGTTAAAACCAACAACAAAACCCTAAGATACTTTTCTGCACAGTCATTATAGCAGGGGACCTTAAAACTCAATTGTAGATGTTAATGTAACCATTATGAATCCATTAGTCTAATTTGCAGGGAACATCTTACACTGATTACCTGTGCTTATAAATTAATCCAAATGTCCTTAGATAAGAATTGTAGCAAGTCATAGGTCACTGCTCTGAGCTGCCATTGCATAGCTCAGTCCCGGATGAAAGGAATTTCAGCGCTGATAGCAGGCTGGAGAATGGAAGCCTACATGACAGCTGCTTAATCAGTGAGCAGAAAGACAAAGGGGCCATGGTTTCAATGTAAAATTGGGCCATTGTTTTAAAAGTGGCATTTAGGTAGGGATGGAGTATGTCGATCATTAGCAGATAAAGGGACAGGCAGACTAAACATAAGACATTTCCCATAAGCATTCCCCCAATAGCTGGACTCCTGCTATACTCATCTTATTAGGGAAGCCAGAAATAGGTCCTTGGCTAAAAGGGATATGTTATACCAAGTAACACAACATTTGGAATCAGACTTGGCACAGCCTGCAAATGGCTCTTTAAAGAGACATGATTATTTCAGAAAGTTACTTGAAGACATCTATGAACAGGCGTTGTTGTTATCCCCATTTCACAAGTGGGGAAAATGAGGCAGAGAGAGATTAAGAACCTGCTCCAAAGCCTGATGGAATCTTTGCATTGACTCCAGTGGGTTTGGATCAGGCTTTATGTGACTTGTGTAAGGTCACCCAAGAAGTCTGGCAGACATTGGAATAGATCCCAGATCTCCTTGATCCCAGTCTGGTGCCACAAGTAACTCTCCTCCTTCCAGTTAGAAAATCTTAAAACTTCCTCTTTTTCACCTGTTCCAGGACCTCTAACCCATCACCTGTGGAGTAGGTGATGAGATAAAAGCTTTGGTTCATCATAAGATGAAATATACAAGTGTCCTCTTCCTGGTGTCTATTTTCTTCTCTGCCCACCTAGGGGTCATGGTGGGAACAGATGAGAATTGCTCTCTGCTGGGTTTTTTTATTATTCTTACCCTAACCCATAAACATTATAATCTGAGGGAGGATTAATTGGCCAAGTCCCTCTAGGTACCTACAGGGCCAGGTTCTCTGCAGCACACTATGCAGGTCCAGAGGGAGGTGCAAAACTCCCTGTTGAAATCCCTGAATCCCAGGCTGGCTGTGTGCAGTCCCAGTCATAAGTCTCAGCAGCCTGAAGGGTCCCAACAGACCCAAGGAGACAGAATGACAAGATGGGGATCAAGATTAGGGGGACGCTCCAGTCATGCCCCCTTTGCTCCATCGGTGCTTCTGACTCTGGCATCTGGAAATGAAATAGTTTAGGAGTCTCTATGCAACCCCGTGCACTGGCATAATCCTCCCTAGGGCCAATTATGCTGGTTTTACCGTGTATGTGTTTTATCATCACTCATGAGGATGAGGTAGTTTTAATTTGCAGAACCTAAAGTCATCAGCAAAAATTTAAACCCTCCTGCATCAGGCCATAGATTAACCATTAATTGCCTGGAATTAGGCAAAAGCTTCCCCCACATGTCCCAGTACGTTACCGCATAATTGATGACTGGGGTTTTGAACCTTTCTTTGAAGCATCCATTCCTGGTTGCTTTCAGAGGCAGGATACTGTTGGCCTGATATTCCTTGGCAATTTCTTCATTCCTTTACGGAAGCTCATCTGCTACTTTTCCTTCTGAGAGTCTGCCAACTCTTTTAAAGCAAAGAAGGCCAGAGACAGTCTTTAGTCCATCCACCGTGGATCATCCATCATTTTACAATAAAAAATTTCAAACCGTTCACTCCATTGATCTGTCATTGTAAGCAGATGACTGGAGTCTGTACTGTGCCTTTCAGCTATGCATTGCTGTTCGTGCAGCCTGGACAGGTTGTGGAGAATTAGAGACGAAGAGGAGGAAAAAAAGGGTAGTAAAGCAGCTGCTTAATGAGTCAAGCTGGCGTTCCAATGGAAAACCACCTTTCCATACTTTGTCTGCTGTTAATTATACAGGTTTTTTCACTGGGGAACATATTAGCACTGTCACCCCAGTTTAATATGTTTCACCTCATGCAAGATCACTCTTTCATCTTTGTCCCATTTCGCTCATTCCTAGCAATCATCACAAGTCGTTTGCATCCATCTTTTCTTAAGATGCCTTGCCCCCTGCCTTATGCATCTGTTGCCTTGTTTCTTTTGTTACAGCTAACAGCTGTTCTTCTCATACAAAGTCTAGGTGTGAGAGGAATTCTAAGTACAGGTGGTCCCAATCTGCAAAGTTCACATGTGGGTCTAAATGCTCCAAAATTTCAGTAGTATTTGGAGCTGCAATTTGGATCCAAGCCCATCTATAGTTATGACCGTGGATCAAAGTTGCAGATCCAAATACTACTAAAATATAGTTAGGATTTACAATACTGATGTGTTTTATGCTGGTAGTTAGGCCGTGGTTCTGTAAAGACTTAAAAACAGGCTTAACCTCTATGCCGGTCTTCTTTCTTTGTCATGTGAAATATCTCAGTTGGCCTCCTTTCTTTTCTAGCGGTTATTCTCATATTTGGATGACGTGTTTAAAATAACCCAGAATGTCCCATGTTCTATTTTCCTGCAGATCCTTTGCCTCCAGATGCCCCTAAGAACCTCAGACAGGGCAACTTTACTGCTCGTCCCGATGGTTCTCTCAGTATCATCATTAACTGGGATGCCCCTCCCAAAGGAAACTTGGAAATCCACCATTACAAAATTTACTGGCGCCTATGGGTACCAAGGAAACCCATGATGGCAGCAAGGAAGGATAACTGGAAAATGACAAAAGAGTATATGTGATATTGTTGCATGTATTGCCTTCTTTGTTTTGTCTCAGGAATGCTACACAGGCATCAGTAGGGGTAGCACAGAGTTAGGGTTCAAGAAAGGAAACCATCTCCAGTGGGAGAAGAGAAAGCAAATGCATTTAATATTAATGTAGAACTGGTTCCTTAGATCCCTTCTGCTCAATTGAGATCCATTGGATTGTCTTTATGCTGAGATTGTATTTGAATGGGAGAGAGGCAGGGGCTTCTCATTTCAGGGAGTAAAAGGACTGGTCCAGGTTCTCTGGATGCTGAAAGCATCCTGATCTGTCAGGTAAATGGATTATATTTTTAGCTGGTCTAAGGAATCCACTACAGAGCTACCATGGATGGGAAGCCCAGGTTTTCTGTGGCATCCTGCCCTGAT